AACAGGTGGAATTTACGCAGCTCATTTACACACTTTTCCTGAAGATAGAAGAGTTTGTTGAATCTGACGTGACATGTTCGTACGAACTCTTTGTACGGGCAAAAGTAAGAGAAATTTAGGATAAGAATACGAAAATGTTCTTGCATGAGGCCCATTGTGTGTATTTGCACAAAGTATCAGTATAGTAACAGTGTTGCCGATACCAGCCTGAGTTTTACTCGGTATCGGTATCAAATATTACATTGGCAATATCGAACATCACTAAAGAGGAGCAGTATAGCCCATCCATCCAAAAGCTCATCTGGGAAATGCAGAGACAAGACACAGAGTTTCCTAAGAAGTGTTTATTTATGGATCTTATATTTTTCTTTTTTTAAAATAAATGTACTCGCTAACTCAAAGGACGCTTCGATTTTTTTTGTAGCAATTGACACATATGGATGATGTTTCATCTTTGCAAAAAAAATTATTCAAAATAATTGGCTGAAATTAAAGCACACTATTTTATACTTTTTTAATGATAGAAAAACTGCAGCAGCTATGGTTAAAGGGTGAGTGGACATCTTGGACAACAAATGCTCATGCTTCACATCTAGAGCCACACAAGTTGTCCAGATGAGGACACAGCACCAACACTCGGCTCAGATAAAACAAAGAACGATGGCCCTTTGTTGGCTCAGATGGGGTTTGCTAGAGGTGGTCCATGCATAGGCCAGCACCACATAAACAAAACCACAAGCGAGTCAGTGGTGGTATTGGTAAATTAACTGAATTTATATAGCAATTTATCAAGTCCCGTTGAACTCCAAAGTGCTTCACACTACAGTCATTCACCCATTCACACACTGATAATGGTAAGCTATATTGTAACCACATCTGCCCTGGGGCACTCTGACAGAGGCCAGGCTTCCATGCACTGGTGTCACTGGATCTTCTGACCACCATCAGTAGACAAGACGGATGAAGTGTTTTGCCCAGGACACAATGACTGAAACCCAACTGTCACAGGATGACTCCCCCTACCACATTGCCACAGCTGTCTGTATCCATATTGACAGATTTAGATCCTAGATGGGGGTATGAGCATCGTAAGGACTTCCTGTTTGATTTTCCAGTGCCATCTTTAGTTTGGCAAAGCCTCAGGATTTCCTAAGAGCACTATGCCGATCTTTGAGTTCGCCAAGATTTAATGAACATTTTTGTCAGTAAACTTTGTAATTGGCGGAGTGACCACAACTTTTTTTAAGGAAGCCAGAGGAAGACACTTAAAGAATAAATTGCGACCGGCCTGGATAGAGGAGGTGGGTAGTTATGTTACAGTTTCAGCAGCTGTTGTTATCGCCTTCTTCCGAAATCCAACCTAAAAGCCTGTTTGAGCCACATAAACCATAACTGGGCCAATTATGGCATGCCATCTTAGAAACAGTGCCATCATTGCCAGACATGGCCTGCAACAGTTGACAAACCACTTGCCATGCCAGCAGTGCCAGCTTGACACTGGATCTGGCCCACACCTGTCTGCTAAACAAGAATACACACAAAAATGGTTGATTGACTTTTGTCTTAATAAGGCAGAGAGCAGACCAACCTGCTCTGCCACAGTTGTGAATTAGTGTCTGTTGGTCAGTATGGTTCCAATTTTAGAACATGGCTTTAGTTCACGCTTCAGCTGAATCAAAACCTTCCTCATACCCTGCAGTTGATGTTTTGTACTAATAAAATGCTAAATAGAAACCAGTTGGCACTCATACACTTACCATATGCATTACACACTATGTGGTATACACGTGTCTGCTGTATATATGTACTAAAATCACTATAGTTCTCTGTCAACAAGCAGTGCTTTGTTTCACAGTCAACACTACACTCGAAGAGTACTGGTACACGGTGACCAAACGCTGCAAATGTACAATTTGGCAGAAGTACAAATTAACCTGGAGCACTTGTTCATCAGAACGAAGTTCCCATGATTAATTTAGTTAGTTCTGTCTTTGATATTACATTTGTTTCATCACACTGCACTTTTCTTAGGAGCTCCATGTGAGCACATCCTCTAAGTCTCTCGGAGGTGGAGACACACCATGACCCAGTCCGGGTTCATTGCTTATTACCCCAAAGAGATTGCAGCGTCCTGCTGATAGCCGGTGATGGCTTGTCTTTTTCTTCTTCTTCTTCTTCTTCTTCTTCTTTAGGATAGTCTGTCAGAGACAGCATCAAAGGTCCGGGGGTCTGGTTAGAATGGCTGCATCTTGGGAACACATTAGTGCTTCTGTTTGTGATCTTTCTCTCTTTCATCACTTTGAAAATTTCTCCTTCCCTTCCATCGACCTCTCTCACATCCCCTCCTTCCATTCACTGACCCATTTCAGGATGTGGAGGGGAGCATTCTCAACATTTTGCAGAGCTTTGTTTTAACCGCTGCCCATATAGAGCTGCCAAGATGTAAAATGGTGAACTTTCCATGGATTTTCCACATATACTG